CAAGGCATCGAAGGATCCTCCACTGCCATTCCCCTGAAAATTTCATCACAGTTATGAATATTTTTTTCATCTGTTCTACAAGAAGGCTGGCAACAAGAATACAGCAAGTGATGTTTAGAAACAGTTATGCATTAAAAGCATGAAAAAAGTGGGAGGTCAGGAATGGACCAAACTAACAGTCCTGCAATAGCCGCTGCTTCAGACAGGTCAGATCACCAGAAAGTATCTAAAAGCTTGAAAAATAAACAAAGAGTTTAAGAAATTAAAATGCACTCCAGTTCTACCTGCGAACAAGATCTGCTGGCAATGCCTCCATGTCAAACCGCCACATATTCTTGTAGGCTGCAGAGCTAATCTCCATGGCATACTTTCCAGGACTGAAACAGGCCTCAATTATTCCTCCTCCATTTATTAAGCTCTGCCGTGCAAGTGCATTAATTTCTAGTGTATAACGTGCATGGGGATGGATCAACTTGTAAATGGGGTGCATTGCACTAAGCTGCCTGTGAGTTGCAATTAGATAAGTCTCCATGCAGGCATGAGTCCTCAACCTGAGAATTCAAAAACACCCACAGGTTAGAAACACGCATGCCTTGCTTTTTTAAATTTCATTGAGTACAATCTTTTCTTTTACCAGTGATTTACTAGTTGATGAACACCAGCATCATTTGAGCAGACATGAGCTTTGGCTAGTTTCCAGATCCAATGTGTCGTGGCATCATGCCCATGAATGTAAACATGTTTGTTGCAAGGTGAAGAGGGTGATGGGGGAAGTGAAAGCTCAATAACTACTGGCCTTAGAATACCAGCCTGATCATAGAAGAAAACAGTCCTTGATGCATAAGCTTTTCTTCCTGGCAAGGAGTTCATCTTCTCGATAAATGGCAAAAGCATATCATGGTAATTGAGGATAAATAACCTTTTCTCTTCAATTGCCTGCGTCATCAAGTATCAGAAACCAGCGTAAGAGGAATCCAGTTCTTCAGCACAAACTGATTTCATTAATTTTTTTCATGTTGTGGATTTTCTACTTTGTAATTCATCGAGCCATGAAAAATTAAGAGGTAATAGAACCAGCTAATGTTACAGACTACTTTGATTAAAAGTCAAAGATTGCTTTTCTTGTTAAGTCCAATCAGTATGAAAATCTAGGCAAACTACAACCTTGAGAATGTCTTTCCACATAAGCCAAACAAGATACTGGGAATGTAAGGCGATTCATAAAGGGCGTATGATTTGCCCAATCACCAATATTAAATTTCCAGCAGCAATGGAGCCCATATACAAAAAGGTGTGTGACAATATAGGATGCGAAACAGGATCAGCATTTCAACCAGAAAAACAATATGAAAATCAAAGGCACGAATCACCAAATGTATATTTGTTTTTTCCAGATTTAGAACAATGGAAGCAGGCTTCTGTAGATGTAGCATGAAAGCAACAGATTATGCATGATGCAGATACCTTCTCTACACTCATTCCATGAAGTTCATGCTCAATTAATTCCTCAGTGATTGCTGATTCTGGAGGGCCATACACAGCAGGATCTAGTTTGCTGAGAATTGGAAATTCCTGTAAAATTGAAGTAGCTTACAGACTAAAGGGTGTGGCAAAAAAGCTACAACCTGTAAATAGCGACAAGTTGAGTAAGATTTGAAATACTACCTTTAAAATCTCAATGTTCACTGGATTCACCCCAGCCAAAGTCTGGCGAGCAAACTCACTATCACGCAACCATGCAAATCTATCCCCTAGGCAGATATAACAGATAAGGTGAAAAAAAGAAAGATAGTATAGAAAAGCCATGCAGGAAGGATGGAGGAAGGGAA